CCCCACCCACCGCGCAGGGGTGGGGGCCAGGGGGGGAGGACAGTAGGTTCCCCCCCCTTATTGTTTTACTGGGGCCCCGACCCACCGCTCAGGGGTGGGGGCTAGAGGGGGAGGACAGTAGGTCCCCCCCCTTATTGTTTTATTGGGGCCCCCACCCACCGTGCAGGGGTGGGGGCCAGGGGGGGAGGGAGGTCCCCCCCCTTTATTGTTTTACTGGGGCCCCCATCCCTAGTGGTGGGTGGGGGCACCAGTAAAGGGGGGGGACCTACTGTCCCCCCCTTATTGTTTTATTAGGGCCCCCACCCACCGCTCAGGGGTGGGGGCCAGGGGGGGAGGACAGTAGGTCCCCCCCCTTATTGTTTTATTAGGGCCCCCACCCACCGCTCAGGGGTGGGGGCCAGGGGGGAGGACAGTAGGTCCCCCCCCCTCATTATCTTCATGGCCCCCACCCGCCGCTCAGGGTGGGGGAGGGGGGGAGGACAATAGGTCCGCCCCCCCTTATTGTAATTTATGTCTTTTTTTTCAACAGTGAGCAGCCATAGGCTGCTCACTGTTTAGTAGACATGCCCCTACTCGCGGTATAGCGAGTAGGGGCATTTGGGAGATTTTAATCTCCCTTGTGCTATTATGGGGGTCATATTGACCCCCATAGAGTGAGAGGGGGTACTGGGGGGGCTTATGAAGTGGTGGGGAGCACTGCTCCCTGCCGCTTCTATAGTTACATATTACAAGGAGGGAGCTGCGTGCCGGTAGCTCCCTCCTTGTAATAAACTGAACGAACAAACTAACACTGATACATTGTGTTAGTTTGTTCGGCTGATATTTCTATTCACTCATTCGTCTGTCTGATGAATGAATGAATAGCTGAAATTCCCGTTCGCATGTCCAGGTGTTTCACTGGGCATGTGAGGGAATCTCAGTGTCTGCCTAGTGTGGGCTGATGACGTGTCCCACATGGACTTCACCTACCCACACAAAGATGGCGGCGCCCTGAATATAGATCGGGGCAGAAAATAAGGATTAAAAAATAGGTAATCTGGGGGGCTTAGGGGCATTTGGGGGTGACTAGTGGGTCAATTGGATGTAGTGGAGGCGGGAGGGGGGTTAAAAAAAAAAACGGGATTCGGCATGACAGTGCTGCTTTAAGGGACGGGCAGCCATTGCCAAAGGGAGTGAAGAGTATTGTATCGTTAGCTGTATTAGGGCAGCCCTCGAGTTCCCGGCCGGCGTGGCAGTCCCCCCCATTCCTACCACGCCCGCTATGCTCCTTGCGTCCCATATGTCAGTAGCTTTTGAATGTCAGCATCATAAGCAATTGTCAGCTAGTGTGTCCATGTGTCTACATAAACCTGAAAGTGGTCTTGTGTTGTGTATATCAGTTCTGCCAGTTTTCATAATTCCTCCATTTTGTGAAACCAGACCGTGAAGGGTGGTGTGAGTTCCTGCTTCCAGTGTAAAGGGATGACTTGTTTGGCCGTATTTAAAATCCGAATCATCAGGGATTTCTTATATTTGGCGATCTGTGTAGTAGTATGGTGTAAGAGAAATGGGACTGGTTGGAAAGAAGGGGGGCGGTCAGAGAACCTCCGCAGGATGGCGTCAATCATCCTCCAAGACGGTTTAACCTTCGGGCATTCCCACCAGATGTGAAGGAACAAGCCTGTGGTCACATGGCAGCGCCAGCAGGTTCTGTCTGGTGATGGGTTTATTTTTTGGGGTTTGATACCACATAGATAATACTTTAAATGTGGTTTCCTGGGTCTTACCTCCTAGGGAGCAGTGCTGTACCAGGTCACATATCTTCCCCCACTGTTGTGGTGTAAAATTCTCCCCAATTTCCATTTCCCATTTCCCCATGTATGCTGGTGCTGGGAGATTTAAGTTTTGTTGTAGCAATAGGTAGAGGATAGAGATCACATGGGGTTGTGGGTCTGGGTCTTCACACATACACTCAAATGAAGTTAAAGCTCTGAACCATTTGGTTGTTGGGGTAACTGGCGTATGAATTGTCTCAGTTGTGCATACTTCAGGCTGTGTAGGAACGTGCCTGGGGTATCTTTTAAGAGGTCAGGGAGGTTTCTGAGTGTGTCTCTTATCGTCATGTGCCTAATCGGAACCTCGTCAAAAGTGAAAAAGCACGTTCAGCGTTATTCGTTAAAGGGAAGAGGGGTGTGATGTTATGCCATATATTTAGTGGCACACATGGTTGTTGTTTCAATAGTTTCTTGCTTTCTGCCGGCTTCACCCAAGTCAGGGCAGTCAATGATCCGCTTGTCTTTTCCATAATTTGTCGACCCCATCTTTAGCCCATTCCAGTATTCTCTGCATATTGGTGGTGCGGTAGTATAGGAGATAGTTGGGGACCTGCCTTTGGTCTAGAGAGAGTCAGGTAGCTTATCCTGGGTGTACGGGGGCTCCATATGTAGGTAATCACCAACGACCGCAGTGATGCGAAAAACGCTTGTGGAATCTTGATAGTTAGTGTTTGAAACAAGTAGAGGATTCTTGGTAAGATGTTCATCTTCGTAACTGCAATGCGACCCAGCCATGATATGTGGGGCAGGGTCCAATCTGTGATGTTCTTCCTGAATGTCGGAAGCATGGGGGTGACGTTCGTCTGGTATAGTTGTAAGAGATCTCTCGTATGCCACACCCCTAGGTATTTGAGTGCGCTGTCTGACCTTTGGAACCGGAAGCTCGATCGGAGCACATCAGACCTCGTTTTTGGAATGGTAATTGTAATGGATCGATGGGTACCCCGACTGGGTACCTCCGTTGAAGGATGCTCCTAGCACTTCCTGAGCACTCCAAGCACTGCAGCAGACACCATAACCACCGTAGACTCCTCCAGAGAGCAAGGCAGGAACAAGCTCTTACAAGAGTTTAGTAGTGATTAAGCAAGGGAGTATGACAAGCATAGCAATCCCGTGTAGCAGATTCCCCCAATAAGAGACAGGACTCAGATTGAGGGTGAAGTAGAACTGACTGTACTGGCACATACAGCCTCTTTTATTCACAATCCACAAACATAGTACTGCCCACAGGGTTTTGAAATACAACCAATCAATCCATACAATACACACAGACACACCCACAGAAAATCCTCCCCTCTGCCTGTGATATGATTACTGAACACAATGGTTAATATAATTATCACAGGCAGAGAAATACAGTTTTTACAAAATATTAATAACTTCAAAAATATACATGCCACAAATATAAAAATTACATATTCGAACTCAGCACACTTTAATTATAAACATATCCAAAATTCAGCCAATTCCATCCAGGAGTTAAAAGGTTAGCTGGCGGTTCCTTTTTGACTGACTGCAAGCACATTTTCATGCCCAAAACAGTTCCATAGATTTGGGCTGTGCGGTCGGTCTATTTCAGGCTGAAAAAACCATCGCCGAATGGGACTTAGTCTCTGCGGCTGCAAAATCATTGTGGGAGAAGGTAAGGCTCAGCGGTGTTCACGGAACTGTGTAGCCGATTTCAGTTCCATGAATTTGGCTACACACTCCGCTGACCGCATTGAATAAAAAAAGATGAGGCCCCCCCAGCATTCGGCAAGTATGCGGCCCCCCCAGCATTCGGACCATAATCACTGGGTAGGAGGCGGGCCAGCAGCCCCCTCCAAGAATACATGGCAAACTATGTTAAAAGGCCGAGTTTGCTACAGTAATATTCATTATCGTCGGTTTTAAAGTAGTTTATTTTAAAGTTAGAGTGTGCGCCGTATCTGTCAAATTCCTTCATGAGATTGGGGAGTGATGATTCAGGTGTGGCAACGAAGAACAACAGGTCGTCAGCATAGGCTGTCACTTTGTGCGTTATGTCTCCCACTTGTAGCCCCCTGACGTCCGGATTTTGTCTCACCGCTTCGAGGAATGGTTTGAGGGCCAGGACAAAGAGCAGCGGTGACAGCGGACAGCCTTATCTAGTTCCGCGTCGTATTTGGAAAAATTCTGTATAGGCGCCATTAATGCACACTCTGGCCGTGGGGTTATCATAAAGGGCTGCAACTCAGTGGTGCATGTTCGGTCCTATTCTGTTGGTTAGTAGGGTCTGCATAAGGAAGCCCCAGTCCACTCTATAAAAAGCCTTCTCGGCGTCTGTGGAAAGCAGCAAAAGGCCCTCTTTGTTCTCCTGGGCCTGATGGATCAATGCTAGTGCCCGGGTCGTGTTATCTCTGGCCTCTCGGAAAAGGTACAAAGCCCACCTGATCTGCCTGTACCAGGGTAAGTATGTGTGGTTTTAGTCTGGTTGCTAGTATCTTTGCAAACAGCTTCAGGTCATTGTTTAGGAGTGATATGGGTCTATAGTTGGCTCACTGCTCCAGGTCCTTGCCCTCCTTGGGGATTAGGGTAATATTGGCAGTCATGGTTTGGGTGGGTAGTCTCTGTGAATTATAGGCTTTCAGGAAGTGTGGGTACAGGAAGTCCACAAATTGCTTATAGTAGCGTAGCATGAGTCCATCTGGGCCTGGGCTTTTATCCGTGTTAGTGGATTACACTGCCTCCGCCAGTTCTTCTATAGTTAGGGGTGCTTCCAGGGCTTCTATTGCTTCCTCAATTAATTTCGAGTGGCAGTTAGTTTCCAGGTATTCCCGTATGGACGTGTGTTGGGATAGCTGTGGTCCGCACCCAGCTGACGGCTCTCGGGAATAAAGATTATCGTAGTATAAGCGTGCTATCGTGACGATCTTGTCCGGCAGGCGTTGGGTCACGCCTCTGTGGCCGCGTAGTTGAGCTATATAGGATCTGCTCTTCTTCTTAATAATGAGTCAGGCCAGTAATCTGACGCACTTATCACTGCTAACGTAGAAGTATGTTTTTGAGCGTTGGAGTTGTCTTTGGTAGCGGCCATGCAGGAGGGTAGCTAGTTTGCCTCGTAGTGCAGCCAGTTCCTGGAAGCTGGTCAGTGTTTGGTCAGCTTTATGAGTCGTCTCCAATGCGTGTATGTCGTGGACAAGATCTTTAATTTCCTTTTCCCTGGTCCTCATTAAAGCAGCACCTTTGGCTATAAAGAAACCTCTGATCACGCATTTATGCGCCTCCCAGATCATTGGAGCTGACGTATCTGTGGTCTCATTGTCTGTGAAGTAATGGGTGAGAGTCGTGTTGGAGTCCTGTAGGACAAGTGGGTCAGATTAAGAGTGTTTCATTGAGTCTCCAATTTACAGTGCAAGGTCGGCAGAGAGCTGATTTTAAGGTCATGGTCAGTGGGCATGGTTCGTCCAGGTCGTTACACCTATGTCAATGCGTTGTACTAAGTGAAGGTAGTAATATAGGACAAAAAAGTAGTAGAGTCTGGAGTATCTGTCATGTGGGATGGAATAATGAGTGTAGTCCCTGCCGTCAGGGTGTAGGGCTGTCCAGCAGTCATAGTTCATAGTTCATAGTTACATAGCTTAAAATAGACTTGCGTCCATCAAGTTCAGCCTACCTCACATTTGTTTGTTGCTGTTGATCCAAAAGAAGGCAAAAAAACCCAGTTTGAAGCACAATTTTGCAACAAGCTAGGAAAAAAATTCCTTCAGAGTTGTTGGGAGTGTAGTAGGTTTTTAAGTAGCTGCATAACGTGGGCTGGAGTCGTGGAGGTCCCCGCAGAAGTATCCACCTTAGGGTTTTGAGTGTCGGTAAAGTCCCCCCCCTGAAAACCAGTAGGCCCTCTATTGAGTGTACTAAAGTGCAGAGTGTAGTCTTTAGAAATTTGCCTTGGGAGGAGTTAGGAGCGTAAATTTTGGCCAGGGTGTACATCTGACCTAAGATCGTCCCCTTAATAAATGTGTATCTGCCTTCCTTGCCTATGAGAGTGTCTTTGTGTTGGAATGGAATTGATTTATGTATGAGGATTGCGGTTCCTTTCGATTTACTTTCCAGGTTGTTGCCATAATAACCCTGTGAAGGTGTGTGAGGATATTTTTGGGGTGATAAATATTAAAATAATATTTTCATAAAAATTATTTAAAAATCAATATTAATCAATATATAAAATTGATATCTTGGCGCGGTTCCCCGAAAAATGATAATATAAAGCTGAGAATTACTCACGATTTTTAATTCTCTTAGGTCCTAGAGGAAGTTTATTAGAGGATTTTACTTCACCCAGTAATCACAATTTCATTATAAAAATACAATTTATTGTGACAATAATAATAAAAATATGTGACATGCGTGACAATAATCAGTGAATATTTAGGTATAACATAGGCATACAATATGGCAATGGTTTAAACACAATACAGCGTCTAAAAGCGACCAGTTGTGAAAAGATTTATGATAGGGTACTGTTTAGAAACCAACTTCACAGACAGAAAACAGAACTTCACAACAGTGCAGCACAAGGCAATAAAAGCTCTGGCTGACAGTCAGATGACACTGATTAACTCTCCCACTGCTGGCTACAATCCTCATAGGCAATATATCCTATTATGTTGTAACTTTACAATTAAAGTACTGTTCATATCAGATCATTTACCATTCCTAGAACCATCCAATAAGAATAATTCTACCAGATTTTACATTTGCCGAATTTTAACTTCCCTAAATAAGATACACTATCTTATATAAGAACAATGCAGTATACGTTGTGTCAGCGCTTAGTTAATATGCCCTTAATAAAGCATTAGTACAATATGAAAGCAGTAAATAATCAAATAAAATGCAAAGCAAATAAGTGTCTATGGTGAAAACACAGGTTTCTGAGAAATATCAGATGTATAAAACAAAAAACAAAAAATAAAAATGTAAGAGAATATACAGCAATAAAATATAAATAATATAGTCACTGTTGGGGATAGGCAAAGTTCATATCCAATCTGTGTAAATAAATCCGTAGATAACCAGCTGTGCCTTAAAAATAAGGAAACAGATAATAGTGTAACGCAGTTTATTAATTGCCCTTAAAAATGAAAAAAATCCCCCATAAACAAAACTCTTACAAGATAAAATAGTGGTACTTATCTCTAAGGACAACGAAGTCAGCTCAAATAGCAAGTCACTCTTAGTCCAGGTATATCTCACATGGAACCGATCCTCCAGAGGAAGCTGGGTCTGCCTCGTGCACAAAAGCCGACCGTCTTGATACCAAGTTCTGAGGAACGCCTAGAATATGCCACGCTGGATACTGGAACTAAGTCAGTGAACTCTGCTGCTGGAAAAAACGTGCTGCACCTTTAACGCGCTTTGCGCTCTTGTTTTCCTAAAGTTATACACCACTACAAACCCCGGTGTATCTCTTATACTCATATAACTGATATACCCATTATATGAGTGTAAGAGATACACCAGGGTTTGTAGTGGTGTATAACTTTAAGAAAACAATTTTGCCGTTTAGCAGACATGGTATATATCTGCAGAATAACGGCCACGGCACCTATCTTGAAAAAGCCGTCATGAGAAGAGCGAAACGCGTTGAAGGTGCAGCACGGTTTTTTCAGCAGTAGAGTTCACTGACTTAGTTCCAGTATCCAGCGTGGCATATTCTAGGCGTTCCTCAGAACTTGGTATCAAAACGGTCGGCTTTTGTGCACGAGGCAGACCCAGCTTCCTCTGGAGGATCGGTTCCATGTGAGATATACCTGGACTAAGAGTGACTTGCTATTTGAGCTGAATTCGTGGTCCTTAGAGATAAGTGCCACTATTTTATCTTGTAAGAGTTTTTAATTAGGGGGGATTTTTTTCATGTTTAAGGGCAATTAATAAACTGTGTTACACTATTATCTGTTTCCTTATTTTTAAGGCACAGCTGGTTATCTACGGATTTATTTACACAGATTGGATATGAACTTTGCCTATCCCCAACAGTGACTATATTATTTATATTTTATTGCTGTATATTTTTGTTTTTTGTTTTATATATCTGATATTTCTCATCAACCTGTGTTTTCACCATTGACACTTATTTGCTTTGCATTTTATCTGATTTACTGCTTTCATATTGTACTAATGCTTTATTAAGGTCATATTAACTAAGCGCTGACACAACGTATACTGCATTTATCTATGAGAATTTGGGAAGTTCTAATTTGTGTCTTGGCTGCTGGTTATATTGTTTATTGTTATACTTTGATAGGTGAAGTTAGAAATGTAAATATGAGATAGGAGTGGTGATGTTGGACTAGCCAATGTCAGAACCCCAAGGTAGGTTACAAGAGGTAACACAAGAAGTAAATAACTACCAACTGAAAGAGTGAGATAGAAAAAAACACTCACGCAAAAGTGAATGGGATTCTATCTCACTCTAGAAGATTACCTTCTAAAGTAAACATAACAAAGAAAATGGTAATAACCTTTATTGAACTAAAATTAAGCAAAGAAAATATGTTACTGGAGTTAAACTGTGGTCATTATAAATAGTGTCTCAATAGAGTATACCAAGATAGCTCACTGGTGGAAAATAAATTCACGAAGAAGCACGGGTATAGAGCTATGTAGCCGACCCTGCTAAACACACTCTCTGGGTTGCTATATGTCTCGTTTGGCAATATAAACTATACGGGAAATCCAATAGTGATTTATCCCCTAGTGTGAGACTAAAAGATACATAAAATCCACAGCGGTATATAACAGCAGTACCTTAAATAAAAAAAAAAAACCTCCGAAATTAGTAACTTTAGAGGAAAGAAGACAATATCCTAGAAAACCCTGGGCTTACTATCTAGCCCACAGGCAGGCCGTAGATATTAAATTGCTGCTTCAAGGCAGCCTAGCAAATCCCTATAAGCTTATGTAAGCACATACTTGGAAAAAATAAATAAATAGATAAATAATAAAAGTGGACATCCGTCAAACCCAGGTAAAAAGTAGAAAAGAAATGCTTAGTTAAAGTAAATGCATCGGCAAAATGCTTGACGCACGTTTCAGCGTTTACATACGCCTTTGTCAAGAGCTGGAAGTTAACTGAGCTAGGAGCTGGTTATAAAGCAGTCTCAGCACGCCCCCTGGATCATCAGAAGTGAGTGAGTTAATCAGCATCAATATCATTGTTAACTCCTCCGGTGCCATTGCACCCTTCAAATGAACTGCAACCATAATAATGTTGTTTTTCATTCTGTAAAGGAGGAGAAAGTTATGTTAAGTCATTTGTAACTCAATGGCTACATAAATATCAGTAAATGGATACACTTCATGTATCTAAATATGATCCATGAGCGCGCTTTAACCCAAACTATCCATAATCAGCTCCTAGCTCAGTTAACTTCCAGCTCTTGAAAAAGGCGTATGTAAACACTGAAACGCGTGTCAAGCATTTTGCCGATGCATTTACTTTTTGCTATCGGTACCATAATCACTGATAGGCACCTACTATCCCTTGTGTTCTACCTATGTAATTACAGCCTATAGTGCTCTATATATATATATATATATATATATACACACTTTTCTCTATATGGACCAGATCAAACCGTGCTTTCACTCATTTATAAGAGACTTTGGTGGTTTTACTTTGACCTCTTTGAGGCTCATATACGATGAGTCTCTATACCACTTGGTCCCTATACCTACTTAGGTGCTAGATAGGAGCACACTACCCAGGCTTTTAATAAGAATATTTGGTGTCACCTTTTTCACTGTTTATACACTTTTATGGTGCATTTTGTTTTGGTAACTTTTTACCATTCATCATTATTTATTTATTTTCTTCCAATAAAGGTTCTTACCATATTTTTGTTACTCTCTACATAAGGGGGTATTTTAGAATGAGGGTGGATTCCATCCACTATCCCATTCATCTCTTTTTGTCCTACTGTCTTGAGTGCTATTAACGAAACAACGCAAATACAATTCCAAACACTGGTTAGCCCTCTCAGTCGTACCATTAGTCTGAGGGTGATAAAAGGATGGAAAGGACAATTCAATCCCAAATTGCTTATTAAAAGTTCTCCAGAATCAGGATACAAACTGAGAACCTCTATCAGACACAATATTGTGAGGAATGCCATGCAAACGGACAATCTCACGTATAAAGATCAGTAACAGGTCTTGTGATGACATCAATTTCTTGAGTGGGATAAAATGAGCCATTTTAGAAAAACGGACCACAACCATGAGAATAGTGGTATAACCGTTAGAACTAGGACGTTCGAAAATGAAATCCATGGACAAGTGAGACCATGGAACCTTAGGAACGGGAAGAGGTTGCAACAAGCCACAAGGGAGTTTATGAGGAACTTTAGAAACTGCACAAACAGAACAAGCCTGCACATACTCCTTAACATCCTTCCTGAGGGAATCCCACCAAAATGATCTCATGATAGCAGATGTGGATTTATTAATACCCGGGTGACCAGCAGTCACGTTGTCAAGGAACACCTTCATGATATTAACTCTTTCCCCCAATGGAACAAACAATTTGTCTTGAGGTTTACCGCAGGGCGCCTGAGACTGAGCCTCCATTATGGAGCGAAGCAGCGGAGAGGACAATGAAAGGATAGTGGAAGCAATGATACTTCCAGGGGAAATGATAGGGGACGTTTCATGTTCTTGTACAGACTCAGTATCAAACTGTCTAGATAAGGTGTTTGACATTTTTAGAACCAGGTCTACAAGTTATAAGAAAATTAAAGCGAGAAAGGAATAGTGACCACCTAGCCTGTCTAGAAGACAACCGTTTAGCATCACCAATGTAAGCCAGGTTTTTGTGGTCAGTAATGATCAAAATGGGGTCTTTGGAACCCTCCAAAAAATGTCGCCACTCCTTGAGAGCTAGAATAATGGCCAACAATTCTCTTTTGCCAATATCATAATTGCGCTCAGCAGGGGACAATTTTCTAGAGTAGTAGCAACAAGGATGCAAAGGAGTATCCTTGCTCTCCCTCTGGGAGAGAACAGCCCCTACCACATCTCTGAGGCATCAACCTCCAGTATGAAAGGTTTACTGGTGTCTGGATGTATTAATATGTCTGCAGAGGCAAACCTTTGTTTGAGAACTTCAAAAGCCTCTGTAGCCTCCTTAGACCATTTTGAACAGTTAGCCCCCTTGCATGTCATATTGGAGATGGGGGCTATTACAGAAGAAAACCCTTTATAAACCTTCTGTAATAATTGGCAAAACCAATGAACCTTTTGTAGCGGAGAGCTGATATTCCACAGGTTATCTCCACTTAAGATCCCAGTGAGGCTCAGGAACAAGTATTATAAATCCATAAAGCAAGGTTTTCAGCAGGCAAAACAATCCAAAAATATCCCAACATCAATCCCAATGACTGGACGACACACAGCATCAGTAGCAGAACTGAACTTTTAATCACACAGATTCCTTATAAAGCATTCTCCCATGCAAGGGAGGGATTTACAATTATTAGTACAGTATCCAATCATACCTGAGTAGCCACCCACACATCTCCTCCCCTTAGCCTGACTCATAATCCCATTATACAGGACACAAATTCTCTGGGATTCTGGATGTACCCCTAAACATAGGGATACCCCTTTAAATATTACATCCCCTGGTAGCCCTGATCTGGGTGAGTGACATATCCAAAAATCACCCAGGTCGGACCAGGGGTTCGGGAAATTTGTGGATGTAATAAAAAGACCAACCGCGCTGGAGGGAACAGCCGAAATTGG